ACTGCCAGCATCATACCTAACGGGTAAAGACTATGAATGTTCCCCTTAAGACAGGGAACAAAACAGGGATGTCTGCTTTCACCTCTTATTCAGCATAGTACTGGAAGTCCTAGCCACAGCAATCAGATAAGAAGAAGAAATAAAAGGCATCCAATTGGAAAGGATGGAGTAAAACTGTCTTTATTTGCAGATGACATGATCCTGTCATAGAGCACCCCAGCAATTCCTCCAAGAAACTACTGGAACTGATGAATGAATTCAGCAAAGTATCAGGATACAAAATAATATCCAGAAATCAGTTGCATTTGTATATGCAAATAATGAACTGAAAGGGAAATTAAGAAAACACTCCCATTCACAATTGCTACAAAAAGCAATACCTAGAAATAAACCTAAGCAAGGATATAAAAGACCTATACTCAGAAAATTATCAGTATGAGACATCGAAGAAAGAAACTGAAGAAGATACAAATTATTGGAAGCACATGTGTTCATGGATAAGAATTAACATCATTAAAATGTTCAGACTACCTAAAGCAATCCATAGGTTTAATGCAATTCCTATCTAGATTCCAATGATGTATTCCACAGAACTAGAACAAATATTTAAAAAAATTATAGGGAACCACAAAGGGCTCCACATAGCTACAGCAATCTTGAGAAAGAAGAACAAAGTTGGAGGATTCATATTACCTAATATCAAACTATACTACATAGTAATCAAAACAGTCATAGCAACAAAACAGCATGATACTGGCATAAGAACAGACACATAGATTGATGGAACAGAACAGAAAGCACAGAAATAAACCCATACCTATATGGTCAATTAATATTCAACAGAGGAGCAAGTATATACAATGGGCTAAAGATAGTCTATTCAATAAATGGAGTTGGGAAAACTGGGCAGATAGCATGCAGAAGAATGAAACCAGAACACCTTTATACACCAAAGAGAACAAATTATTCAAAATGGATCAAAGACTTAAGTGTTAGACATGAAACCATAAAAATCCTAGAAGAAAACATAGGCAGCAAAATCTCAGACATTACTCAGTAGTATTTTATCGGTTATACCTTCACAAGCAAGGGAAACAAAAAAGTTAAATAAATAAACAAATGAGACTGCACCAAACTAAACAAGTTTTTGCAGAGCAAAGGAAAACATCAATAAAATTAAAAGACAACCCACAGAATGGGAGAACACATTTACCAATACATCTGATAAGCAGCTAGTATACAAAATTTATAAAGAACTTACAAAACTCAATACTATAAAAACAAACAACCCAATTAAAAAACGGGCAAAGACCTGAATAGACACTACATAAAGAGGACATACAGAGGGCCCACAGACATATGAAAAAATGCTCAACATTACTAATCATCAGAGAGGTGCAAATTTAAACTGCAGTGAATACTGCCTCACACCTGTCAGAATGGCTATCATCAATAAGTCAACAAACAACAAGTGCTGGTGAGGATGTGGAGAAAGGGGAATCCTTGTGCACTGTTGGTGGGAAGGCAGACTGGTGTAGCCACTGTGGAAAGCAGTATGGAGATACCTCAAAAAATTAAAAATGGATCTACCTTTTAACCCACAGATCCCACTTCTGGAAATATATCCGAAGGAACCCAAAACACTAATTTGAAAGAACATAAGCACCCCTATGTTCACTGCAGCATTATTTACTAGTGCAGCCCAAGTGTCCACCAGTACATGAGTAGATAAAATAACTATGGGATATTTGAACAACAGAATATCACTCAGCTGTAAGAAAAAAGAAAGTTTTACCCTTTGCAAGAGTAAGGATGGACCTATAGAACATTATTCTAAGTGAAATAATCCAGTCAGAGAAAGACAAAAACCATATGATTTCACTCATATGTGGAATTTAATGAACAAACTGTACTAACAAGGAAAATGGGGACAGACTCATAGATAGACAGCAGGATGACAATTAGTGGGGGGATGTGAGAGGGTGGAGGGATTGAGCAAAAAGGAAAAAGTACTCATGAACATGGACAATGGTATGGTGATTGCCCAGGTTAGGGTGGTACAAGAGGACTAAATGATAATGAAATAAAATATAATAAGATTTTATATTTATGAAACAAAAAGTAATATATTTCAGAAAAACATTTGAAAATAAATAAAATGTGGCCCTGGCTAGTGTAGCTGATGGATTGAGCTTCTACTTAGACAAAAAGCTGCAATGAAGGTTACTCTCAACCTACCACCAAGGAAAATCTGCATAATCTATAAAATTATTATCTTTCTTGAGCTAGTCAGACCTGAAGTCACATGACAACCAAGTGTAAATGAGCATTTTTCTCCTTCAGAGAAAGACAGAACACATAAACTGTTCACCTTTGGTTAAACATAGAGGAAGAAAGCAGCCACCACACTAGTGGATAAGAAGAAATCAATTAAAATTTTGACAAATTCTTAAAAGACAAATGTGAAGTAGAGTGTCATTTACAACAGATGCAAACCTAAGGCACAAAGGGTCTCTATCAGAAAGACTGGAGTCACATCAGCAACCTGGAGAGCTCCCCTCAGTGGCACATACATGCAGAGACAATCAGCTGCACTGGATTACAAAATGAAGCCAGAACTCTTTTGTGGTGGGAAGCAAAAACTCTTAAGTTCTTGAAGAAGCAGCAGGAAAGCAATTGGGGGATGTGGGGAAGAATTCCCTTACTTCTGAGGGAAGAAGAGAAGTCAAACCCATCTGACTCCGGAGAGGATCAGTAAAAATACTCCTGCTACCAAGACAAAGATCTGTTGCTTTGGGAAGATGGGCAGAGGCAAAAAATTCTGGGAGGAGACTGGAAACTCACTGGGCCCACGGACCTACATCAATACCAAGCCTATGTCTACCACCACTGCAGGAGGGACAAGACCATTCATAGATCCAGACTGACTTTGCACTGGGAAGAAGCAATAGAAACACCAGGGAGCCCTATCCCCAAGGTGTGGGTCCAAAGGACCTGCCCAATGCTGGGGACAAACCACAAAAATGCAGAACTCCTTTTAATTCCACAATGAACCTAGTACCAAGTAATAGCATCAGTATCTACTGCTAGTGGCACATCAAGTGTACACAGAAAGAGTCCCCTCTGAGGTGCAAACACATAGGGACTTGCTAAAAGCTGAGAGTGCAGCTGGAACACTGAGGAAAACCCTCCAGCTTCCAAAACCCCATTTTAAGGATAAGAAAGAACTGAATTGAATTCACTACTAGAAGATATGGCAGGAAGCTTCCACATAAAATAACCCCAGATATAGCACAAATTGTGGAAAAGAAAAATTAAGAGGAAGATTTAAAGGCAGCCAAAACAACATGCACAAAACAACACTATAACAGACATTTTGTCACAACCTGTGAAATCCAAAAGACATTGGAAGGATATCTTTAAAGATCAATCCAGTTATCAATGATCAACAACACATTCCTGGTTTTCTTCCTACCTCTCAGACAGTTCCTTTTCTAATTCCTTTGCAAGATCTTTCTCTTTCATTCAGCAGTACATTTTAGGATTCCTCATGGTTCAAGTCCTTTTCTATGTTCATATTTTGCTCACAATTTAATTCTATATTCTTTCCATAGGCAATCTCATTCTCATTTCTGTTCAAGGATTTAATTTCTACTTTCTAGCATATCACTCTGGTGTTATATCTCCTACTTACACTGTTTCTGAGCTGCCTATTTCATATTTTTACTTCACTGTTTCACAGGCACTCAAGTTCAACATGTCCAAACTGAGGTTACAACCTCCCCTGACTTAGTCCTCTTCCAACTTTCCCTATCTCAAGAAGTTATTATCTGTTAATGGCTACTGACCCCTCTTATTTACAACACCATGCCCATTCAATTGTGCTTCCTAAATATCCCCAAATCCACCCATCTCTCTACCTCAGCTGCCATTATTCTAGTCCAAACTACAAACTTCTGTCCTGATTGGTGTGGATCAGTGGACTGAGCACTGTCCTGCACATGCTAAGGTCACTGATTCGATTCCCAGTTAGGGCACATGCCTGGGTTGCAGGCCAGGTCCCCAGCTGGGGTGTGTGAGAGGCAACTGATCTATCGAATAATCTCTCACACATCAATATTTCTCTTTCTTTCTCTCGCTTTCTCCCTCCCTTCCCCTCTCTAAAATAAAAAATAAAATCTTAAAAAACAAAACAAAACTATACACTTCTGTTGCATGAACATCTTATTGGCTAGTCATTTACCCTCCTGCAACTACTATTACACCCCTTCAATCCACTTTCCCTGTAGCATCCTGAATAATTCTTTACAGAAAGGGAGTTACCCTTCTGCCTTCATTAGGCCCTGCTTAAAAATCTTCCAATAGCTTTACATGGGTCTTAGGTCTGTGATCAAACTCCTTACAACAAACTCCACACAATGCGGACCTTTCATAATTTGCTTCATCTTGTACCACACTCCCTTGTTTTTCCCTTCTCTAATCACTCTGGCCTCCTGTCAGCTGTGCACAGATGCCATGCTCCCTCCTAGCACAGTGCCTCCCACAAGATGTTCTGTCAAAGACCTCTTTGTTTATGCCTATTCATTTTTCAAATGTCAGTTCAAGTTTCAGGAAATCATTCCATGTTCTCCCCAAAAGTTAAATTCCTGATTTAGCATTATGTAACTCTTCTCTGTAACATTTAACACAAGCACAATTTTAGACTTATTTCTGTGATTATTTAACACTTGGCTTCTCCACTAGGCTATAAATTCCATGAGGATCAAAGCTAACATCTGCTTTTGTTCACAACTTAATTTTAATGCCTGGTACATAGAACATGTATAATAAATTTTTATTGAATGAAAGAATGATATAGAGAACATAGGCTTAAATGTAAGCCATAATAATGACATGAAACTTTCAGGGATATTTTGATATTTACTTACCAACAAGAAAGAAAAGGTAAACTCATAGACTGAAAACAATACCTAAAAAAAAAATTTTGTAAAATGTCTTACCTAGACACAAATTCACTTAGTTCTGAATATGCAGTGGGCTCCATTATTATGTTGAGGTCAGTAATAACAGAAGATAAATTCTCCTGATTCTAAAATTTTAAAAAAGTTTATGTATCAGAGCACGTAAACATTCAAATAAAATAAAGACAAAAATAATTTTAAAATTTATGCAAAATGAAATGCCACCAAGTAACCAGAAAAGGTAATCAATAGAAGGTACTGAAAACATTGGTTATTTGTTAAAAGAATGAAATCAGATCTGTCCTCCATACCAAAAACCAAAATGAGCTTCAAGTGAATTACTCACTTAAATGTTAACTCATTACTGAGCAAGAAAACACTTTCTACAAAACAGTAATTAAAAAAACAAGCAAATTAGATGAAAACTCAGAATATCTATATAAAAATAACTTTATAACTAAAAAAAGAAGCAATAAACTGAGGGAAAATGTTACCATAAACATAACAAAGAGGAAAACTGAAAAGAAAAAGGCAAGGTACATTAACTAAAAACTCAAAGGTGCAAGACAATTTACATGGAAAACAATGTTTACTCTCCTTAGTAACAAAATAAATGTAAATTAAAAAAATGAAATGAGATTTTTTTCTATAAAACCATTTGGGCAATGCATAACTTAAAATATTCAGTCTCTATCCCAACAATTTGACTTCTAAGAATCTGTCCTGACATAATAAGAAATGAAGACAAAGCCTTCTGGCTATTTATTACAAAAACCAAAAAGCAACTCAATATTCAATCATGGGGATTGCTAAATAAACTTAAATATTTTGAAACGCAATTCATGTTTTCTTCTTTAGTAAATTTTCTTCTATTATATATTTGCCTATAATTTCTCTTTCACTTTTATATATTGACTCCCCGTGTTCTGTCTTCTAGCTTTTTCTTCTCAATTCTTCTTAAAGATGATTCTCCTCAAGCCTATCCTTTATATTATACTCCTGGCTACTTCTAATATAGTTTTCAGGACTATAATCATTATATCCCTCTGTGTCTCTCCTTCCTTTCTTTCTATCCTTACCTTCCCTCCCTCCCTTCTTCCTTCCTTCTTCTCAAACCTGTTACTCTTTTTCTTCTTTTTTTTATCATCACCCAAGGACTTGCCCACTGATTTTTTATTTTCATATTTTTTAGAGAGCAGAGAAGGAAAAGAGGGAGAGAAACATCGATGTAAGAGAGAAACATCAATTGTTTGCCCTTTGTATACACCTTGGGTGGGGACTGAACCCACAACCCAAGTATGTATGTATCCTGACTGGGAATCAGACTGTGAAATTTCGGTCTGTGAAATTCAATTTTCTTTAAATACTTTCATTTGAGAGTTACAGCAATTTTATACAGCATGTTCTTGTATTTCCTGGATTAATTCTTCCAAAGTGAACTCATATCCATTGTCTTATTAATTTCTCTCATGGCAGTATTTTTGCGTAGTTGATGATACAAGAACTCTGCATCATCTTTGTGTTCTGAACTCTACGGCTCTTATTTATTGATAGGAGTAAGTCTAGAAATTTTTGCTATTTCCTAGGAACAGAGTGACTGGGTACCCCTTGACTCTTCTCCATTTGTCGGGGTACTACATGACTTGTTTCTTTGTATTTGAGCTGCTGGAGAAATGGATACCAATGGTTTATAATTGTTTAGTTTTTCAGCTACTAAGGGTAGTGTGAGGATTGTTAGCTTTAAGTAGGCATCTACCACTCTATATCTAATCAAAAACATACATTTCAGAGGCACAATTACAACTCAATAATAAAAAGACAACCCAATTAAAAACTGAGCAAAAGATCTCAACAGACATTTCTTCACAGATGGTAGATAAATGGCCAGCAAGCATACAAAAAGATGTTCAATATCACTAGTCATCTAATAGTTCAATTTGACTCAGTAATTCTACTCTTAAGATATCCAAGAAAATTGAAAACACATCTACTTAAAAACTTATACATGAATGTTTATAGCAATATTCTTTGTAACAGCCAAAAGTAAAAACAACTTCAAATATCCATTAACTAACGAATGAACAAAATGTGATATAACCTGAAATTGGATTATTCAGCCAAAAAAGAATTAAGTGATGATACATGCTACAACATGAATGAACCTTGAAAACATAAAATTAAAGAAGTCAACTGAAAAGACCACATATTATAATTCCATTCACATGAACTATCTGGAATAGGCAAATCCACTGAGAGAAAACAGATCAGCTGTTGCTTAGATCTGGGCAGAAGGAGGGAGACTGAGTGGTGATAAAGAGTATCATGTTTCTTTCTTTTGTTTTTCTTAAGATTTTATTCATTTATTTTTAGAGAGAGTGGAAAGGAAGGAGAAAGAGAGGGAAAGAAACATCAATGTGAGAGAGAAGCATCAATTCGGTTGTCTCTCCTATGCAGCCTGGCCAGGGACCAAACCCACAAGCAGGACTGTGCCCTGAAATCGAACTGAACCATCGACCTTTGGCTTTCTGGGACAACGTCCAACCAACTGAGCCACCCAGTCAGGGCTCGAGTTTCTTTCTGAGGTGATAATTTTCAAAAAAAATGACCAAGTGATGGTTGCACAACTCTGAATATACTAAAAAGTACCAAGTGTATAAGTACATATTAAATGGATAAATTATATGGTATATGAATTATATCTCAATAGAGCTAAAAAATCTCAGAATATGTTTTGTCTTTTGTTCAAGTATGTGTGGGTATGTAGATTTTGGTCTTTCACCGATTGGGAGAGGGAAATAAATAATCCTGTCAGCATAAAGCCTATGATTTACTGGCCCTCTATTATTTATTTTTTGAGGGAGGGGCTGGTCTGGATTCTGTTCAGCCACTGAAAAGATGACTTCAAGATACAGTTTTCCCATCTCTCTCTGGCATGTCATACTGCTAACCAGGTCAATCTTTCCCAGTTGGTTAATAAGGGAAGGGAGCTTATCAACAAGTCGACTTCAAAGACACTGTGTGAGACTGAGCAGCATATTCCTTTCTACTACAGTCCATTTCACTGAAGTCCAAAGTTTTCATTCTTCTCTTCAACTTAAGAATTGTGGGCCCTGGCTGGCGTAGCTCGGTGGATTGAGCATGGGCTGTGAACCAAAGTGTCGCGGTTCAATTCCCAGTCAGGGTACATGCCTGGGTTGCAGGCCATGACCCCCAGCAATCGCACACTGATGTTTCTCTCTCTCTCTCTCTCCCTCCCTCCCTCCCTTCCCTCTCTAAAAATGAATAAATAGAATTAAAAAAAAAAGAATTGTGAGTAGAATCATTCAGGAACTGGTCCCATTAGCTTTGTAAAATTTATGTACTGCTTATGAAGCACCCTATATCAAATTTCAGTGTTTTCTTTCACTTGCATTTGAATGTATTCATAACAGGTACATTTTCTTTGGTGCATGCAATATAGGATTTATTTTATTTTATTTTATTTTTTATTTTTGACTTTAGAGAGAGGGGAAGGGAGGAATGGAGAAAGAGAGGAAGAGAAACATTGATGTGAAAGAGAAACATCAATCAGTGCCTTCTGTACTTCTATATGTGCCCTGATGGGGGACTAAACCTGCAACCCAGACATGTGCCCCAACCAGGAATCTAACCAGTGACCTTTCATTTCACAGGATGACACCCAACCAACGGAACCACACCAGCAGGGACAGGATTTTATTCTTTTTAATTAAAAGGTTTCTCTGTTTGGCCCTGACTGCTGTGGCTCAATTGGTTCAGTGCTGTCCTGCAAAGTGAAGGGTCACCGGATTGATTCCCAAGCCATGGAACATGCCTGGGTTGCAGTTCCAGTCCCAGTCCCCTGGTTGGAGTGCAAGAGAGAGGCAGAAGATGCTTCTCTCACTCTATTTCTCTCATCCTACCCCTCTCTCTAAAAATAAATAAACAGGGACTTCCGGCCAAGATGGAGGCGTAGGTAGACACACTGCCTCCTCGCACAACCAAAATAAGGACAACAACAATTTAGAAACAAAATAACAACCAGAACTGACAGAAAACTGAACTATATAGAAGTCTGACAACCAAGGAGTTGAAATAGACACATTCATCCAGACTGGTAGGCAGGGTGAAGTCAGGTGGCCAGGTGGAGAGGGGTTCCAGCACAAAAAGCAGTGGCACCAGGTGTGCAAGGCACCCCAGACACACAAGACAGCAGCAGGGTGACCCTGGGCATGCAGGCGGCAACTGGCAGACCCTGGGTGTGGGGTGGCAATGGGCAGACCCAGCAAGGCAGCAATTGTGAAGCGAGGCACAGCACACAATGCAGTTGGCTTAATGGGCGGTCCCACATTCTCACCCAGATAAACCAGGTGAAACTGGGAAGCAAGACAGACGGCACAACCCAGGGTCCCAGTGTGGGAAAATAAAGCCTCAAAACACCGATTGAAAACACCTGTGGGGGCTGAGGCACAGGGAGAGACCCCTGACTTCAAAGAAAAGTTTGTTGGAGAGACCCATGGGGTCCTAGAACGTACACAAGCCCAACCACACAGGAATCAGCACCAGAAAGGTCCAGTTTGCTTGGGGGAAGTGGCGGAAGGGACTGAAATGTGACAGAGAGCAGAGCAAGAGCCATTGTTCCCTCTTGGACTCTGCCCCCACATATAGCATCACAACACAGTGACAGGGTTGCCCATCCCTGGTGAACACCTAAGGCTCCGCCCCTCATACGTAACAGACACAACAAAACAACAACAAAAAAAATGGCCCAAACGGAAGAACAGATCAAAGCTCCACAACAAATACAACTAAGCAATGAAGAGATAGCCAACCTATCAGATGTACACTTCAAAACACTGGTGATCAGGATGCTCACAGAAGTGCTTGAATTTGGTTGCAAATTAGATGAAAAAATGAAGGCTACGCTAAGTGAAATGAAGGGAAATGTACAGGGAACCAATAGTGATGGGAAGAAAACTGGGACTCCAATCAATGGAGTGGGCCAGAAGGAAGAAAGAAACATCCAACCAGAAAAGAATGAAGAAACAAGAATTCAAAAAAATGAGGAGATGCTTAGGAACCTCCAGGAAATCTTTAAACATTCCAATGTCCAAATTATAGGGGTGCCAGG